CGTGTGTGCGTGTGCATATGAGTGCAGGCTACTCTACCAGAGACGGCAGAGAAGGACCTTAGGTGTTATCCTCTACTGCTTTCCCCTTTACTGCCTTGTGGCTGGGTCTCTCACTGAGTGGGAAGCTCCCTGTTTTGGGATCTGCCTGCCTGTGCCCTGCAATGCTGGGGTTACAGGCACCTGCAGCCATGCCTGGCTGTCCCGTGGTGCTGGGGCCTGAAGCCAGGACCTCCTGCCTGCAGGGCAAGTGCTTTAACCTACTGAGGCATCTTCTAATCCCTATTTAATTTTTCTTCTGAGTAAGGTCTTACTGTGTTCCCAGGCTGGCCCTGATCCTCCTGCCTCTGTCTCTTGAGTGCTAGGATCACAGGTGTGTGAGGCTGTGCTGGCCCATGCAGATGAACTTGAAGAATAGATGTTGGTTAAAAGCTATGATGTGACTCTGTGTGTAAGAACTGTACAGCATGGGCAAATCTACAGACAAAAGGCAGATTAGTGGTTGCTTGGGACTGGCCTGAAGAACCTGGAGTGACTGCTCAATGAATACAGGCTTCCCTCTGGGGTGATAGGAATGTTCTGGAACTACACAGGGGTGCCGGTTGCACTGCCACTGTCAAAATGTCACAGGATCAATGACACCCTTTTAAATGATTACTGCTTAACTTTATGTGAATTTTATTTCAAATGAAGTATTTTAAAAGTCCAAGACAACTGCCCTAGGCTGATGAGGCCCCTGTGAGCAGGGACTGATGAGAGAAGGACCCTGCTCATGAAATGCTGAGCCACACCCCCTCTCCTGTGGCTGGCCTGTGGTCACCTGAGGTCTGCAGTCTTTGCCAAGTTCCTTAGTTCAGTCTCTGTGAAGTGGTCAGGGCATCTCCCCTCTGATGAGACTGAAGAAGCCAATGTGTTGGGAGACTCTATGCCACAGGGAAGGGCTTTGTCTCCTTTTTGCTGGAGATGTCCCCTGAGCCTTCTACACAGCCCATCCCCAGCCATCTCTCTGTAGAGTTCTTGAACAAACCACCTGCTGGATACTCTGCCTGGCTCCTGGTGATGGCCTGGCAACGCTCAGCCATCACGACTGTGAGCTGGGCCTCCAGAGTCCTCCCAGAGCAGTCCTATCGTCTTTTACAGCACAGATGAGAATATTACTCCATGCATTTCTGCTTTCATGACTGCCTTGCTTGGATGCCTGCACATGTAAGAAAACTGAGCTAATGGAATCGCAAATCTTGCTGTCAAAAGTGGAGGAAGTGAGAAGATAGCTGACTATAGCCTCCATTTATTCATCCTTCTATCCTCCCATCCATCCACCTATTCTTCCCTACTTCCTTCTGTCTATCTTCTCATCCACCTCTCCATCCATCCAGCTCATTCACCTTTCCTTCCATTCATCCTCTCACCTACCCACCCATCCCTCTTTCTGACCATCCTCCTATCTATATTGTCATCTACCCCTTCATCATGCATCTATCCATTCATTAATCCATCCACTCATCCATTTATCCATTCATCCATCTTCTCCCCTCCCCTCATTCATATACTCACCTTCCATGCACAATCCACCCACCTATTACCCTCTCATTCATCTAATTCATGCATCCACATATATTTACATGTGTATCCACCATTCACACACACACACACACACACACACACACACACAAACGTATGCATTCACCATGTGTTTCTGAATGCATAGAGAGGCTGTGGTTCAACAATAACAACAAAATAATAATCTAGATGCATTCATTCCCTTCTAGGGAAGGAAGTAGGGAAGCAGAGAAAAATGATGAGATGAACCATCACATCAGCTGTCTGAAAGCGTAGGAATAGAACAAGGGGGCCAGAGAGAGGAGAAACTAAGAAAGGTCACTCGGATGGCCTAAGAAAGGCAAAGTCTAGGGTTAGCAGTGAAACTGTAGGATGCTCAACTTCAGAGTCACTTAAGATACAAAGTGGACAGGAGTAGATGGCTTCCAGGAAGAAGCAAGAAAAAGCACTCAAGATCATTTCTAGGTTGTGAACATAGCTATGGCTCATGGAATGCCATGTTCCAAGATTCAGAACAGCTAGAAGATGCCCAGTCCCCAGGCTTAGAAGGGGGTCCCATGCCCACTCTTGGAAGCGAGTCCATTGCTTGCCTCAGCCACACCCATCCTGGGAAAGCCTTCATCAGGTAGCCACAGTCCAGATTCTCCTTGCTGGCCCCTGAATGGATGGTGGGGGTTGGGAGGACAGTGTGCCCAGCATGAAACTCACACATTGGCCATCCCCTAAGCTACAAGAGGTCTGACTCAAAACCGGGACTTGGTAGACCAGACACCTCTCCCACAGACAAGGAGAGGATTCCAAGAGGACAAGGCACATAACAGTGGACACCACTAATGTGTCACCACAAATGCTAGACCATGAGCTTCTGGGAGGCCCTCCTGCCTCTGGTGTCACTCTGTGGTGTCAGCCTACTGTCTGAAGCAGGTGTGCACAGTGCCTCTGTCCACCCACAGCAGATAGCCACAATGCTCAGACTGTGGACTGACTTCCTACAGTCCTGACTGCTCTTTAGCTTCTTTCTGACTGTAGTCCTGGCAAGTCACTGAACGACCCTGTGTCATAGTCTCCACATATGTGAGAAAAAAGTGACAGTCATGGCAAGATCAACCAGCAAAGGCCAACTGCCCTACAGGTGGTTGACAACTTAGTAGCTGCTTCTGACAGTAGCCAGAATGGGCAGGAGAAATGACCTCTATTGACAGTCTGTTCTCAGGAGGCATTTAGCACCAACCACAAGCTCTTGTAGGAACTGTGCCTCCCCTACCTCCCAGGCTGACCCTTCAGACAGTGGAGAGTCAGGAGGCTCCAGCAGGTGCTCAAGTGAGTGGAGGGAGTACCACATCCATGTCTGTAAGCTTCAGCTCTAGCTCCTCCCCAGCCCGCACTGCTGTGCTCCATGCTTGGCCTCCTCCCCAGCCCTTACTGCTATGCTCCATGCTTGGCTATGGATGGGAACAAAAGGAGGGTCACAAAGGTGAAATGCCCTGTGCCTGCAGGTTGCTGGCCTAGGACTCTATTCCTGTAGAAAGTGGCCTGCTTTGTCCAAGCAGCTGATGGCTGCAACCTATTCCTAGTCAATGTACATGGTCCCCAGGAGATGGACTGCATGGCTCTTGATTTCTCACTCTTTGGATAGACTAGAGCTTGGAGGAGACAGGAAAGTGGATGCCTCCAAACCCTGGGTTTCCCAGTTCTGGAATACAAAGCCACCACACAGTGCACACAAAGCCTGAGAAACAGGCACCTGGCCAGGACTCTGCAGTATCAGACAATAGGAAAAGTCCCTGGATCAGGTGTCATGAAGATTAAGTCATGTCAGTGCAGGTGGAGCACCTAGCCCAAAACTATGGCATCCCGAATGACTGAAAATCTGCAACTGTTTGGTCAGACATAAAGATACACACACAAGTGGAAAATTCCACCGTGACCTCCCATGACACCCTGCAATGGAAAGCAGGTGCGCCAACAATACCTTCTGACACCACCTTCTCGACATGTGGGCGAGACACAGGTGAATTCTTTGTTCATGCACACATCACATTCCCAGCATACCTCATTACGAATATGCAAATAGTCTAAAAACTGAAAAAAAAAAAATGTGATCCAAGCATTTTGGAAGGAGGACAATGAACTTGTGCCGTGAAACACTCCTTGTGTAGTTTCCTATGCACCGGGCTGAGGCACAGCACTTTCTTGTTCCCAAAAGCAACCATTCCTACAGGTCAGCATGATTTCCAACAGTAGACAGATGGGTGAGGAGCTCAGAGAGGGTTGGTCATCTGCCCAACAGCACACCCACAGAGAGGGATCTAGCTGGGACCGCACAAATGCGCCTGATGCCATAGCCCTTGTGTCTAACCACTGGTCATGCTGCTTTTTGGGGTCAAGTTCATGGTGCCTATAGAAACAGCACGAACCATGGCTGTGGTTATTATGGTCTGGAGTGGTAGCTCAGGGCTTCTTTATGCCCAGTGGTTCCTCTCCCCAGGAACACAGAGATATGCCTCACCAAGAAAACCTCAACATCTTAGGGTTTGGGCTCACCCAAATCAGTGCATGGTGGGGAGAGAAAGAAACCTGCACAAAGATTAACCCCTAGTAGCAGGTCAGTTGCCACTCAAGACTGGGGGCCAATTCCACTTGCTATCTTAGGAATGGCTCAGTTCTCCAAGTTCTGAAGGCCTTGCCTCAATAACTCTTCGTCCCAACTGCTGGAGTGGGAAAGGGCGGGTCCTAGAGATCCCACACTGCGGGACCTCCATGACACAGGGCAACAGTAGAGGATCTGAGAGGAGTCCCCGTGAGGTCCCAGGATTGACAGAGCAGCAGAAGCCAGGGGTCTCATACCAGACCAATAAGTCACTGCAATGAACATTTGCAAGCAAAGCAGTGATTCACTACAGCTTTCACAATGAGATTTTTTTTCTCTCTGTGTGGGTAAGGTTGTGAGGGTGCAGGGAGGGTAGGAGGGGAGTGGGATCGGGGTACATGATGTGACCGATAAATAGTAAAAAACAAACAAAAAGCAAAACCTCTTCATCCCAAAGTATTTCCTGCTGCACACTGCAAAGCATCACTGCTCCCACATCCCCTCCTTTGCCCATGGTAGGCATTACTAATTGACCACAGAGCCCTTTCCCTCTGAACTTCAGTCACCTTTACAGAAAGAGTTCCCAGAATGTACAGAGTCAAAAGCTGTTAGTGTCACCCTTCTCTGAGAGATGCAGGATGCAGGCATGTGGACAGGCTTCGCTTCCCCACTTCAGGTAAAATCAGATGAAACTATCAAGGAAAGCTTTGAAGAAAACCTGAGGGGTGCAGAGGCAGGGACATCGTGGTGGGTGGCAGGCCTTTCATGGCTTTGCCACAGTTCTTTCCTCCTCTGGACGGTGAATGGAAGCCCACACATGCTGGGGCCACGGGAGGCAGCCACCACTGCTTACCTTGGACTTGACAGCCAGGATGATCTTGGGCAGGGCCACGATGAGGCACTTGAGGGCGATGGTGATATACTTCAGCACAAAGTCGGCGATCCCCACGATCCACAGCAGGTCAAAGAAATCCAGGGTCTCCAGGTTGGGCTTCAGGAATATCAGGCTGGGGGAATGTTCAGAGGACCAAGTCACTTATTTAGTCCCTGGTCCTTGGCAGTTTTCCCTCGCTAGGGAACCTCGTAAATGCCACCAATAGGTAGCACACCGACCTTGGCATCGCACTTCTGTGGCCTGCTTTTCCATCTGCTGTGTGACCTCAGCTGGGACTCTTAATCTCACAGAGCCTTAGTTCCCTTGAGGATTAAATGACGCTATTTGGCTGGAGCATCATAAAGGTGCCCACTATTTGAGTTTGTGTTGTATGTGTTCATGTGTGTGTAGGTGCGTTTGTGTGCACAGATGAGTCTGTCCATGTATGAAGAGGTCAGAGGTCAACTTCAGGCATTCTTCAGAAGCCATCCACCCTTTTTCTTTTCCTTTTTATTGATACATGATCATTCACTGACCTGGAACTTGGAAATCAGGCTAGGCTGGCTGGCTAGTGATGCCCCTGCCTCCACCTCCTCAGTGCTAGGGTTCTGAGAATCAAACATAGATCCTTGATTTTTGCCTATGGAGTGTTCCACCCCATCCTGCCACCCTCCCACTTGGTTTGATGTATCCATAACAGTCTTCACAGAAAGGAGGGGGAGGCAGAGGCATAGCAGGGGAAGCCCAGGGCCCTGTGCTAAGGTCCTTACTTCATTGATCTTATTAATTCTCCTACCATAAGCGGCTCTGCAGTGAGCATGACTGAGCTCCACTTCAGAGATGAGGGCTGAAGCTCAAGGTCACGAGACAGCCATACAAGGGCATTAGGACCAGACCCACTTGCATTCACACCTTCGCTGGCCATCAGCAAATCAGGGCTCACTCCCTCTCCCCTAGCTTAACCGACAGGCCTAGATGAGATCCCAGATGTACTGTAGACCCGTCACTCAGTGCTGACAGATAAGGAAACAGCGACATGGGAGACATGGTCTAGTCAGGCAACTGGCAGGAGACAGAGCTAGGTGTGCAGCCAGGTGTCTTGGTTACAAGGAATGCTGTCGGCCAACCCATGCTGCACACGGGGATGACTCAGTGTGCAGACCGGTGGTACCTGTGCACGAGCAGACGCGCTGTAGGCCCACTGCACCTGTCTGCGCCAGGCGGGTTACCATTCGGTTTACCTGCATGCGACCCTGTAAGGTGCAACCCACTGCACCTTACTAGGAAAGATGCAAACCTGCTTCACCTGCGCAGGCCTAGGCAGGTCCAAAACGCGGTTCACCTGCCCGCTGCCCGCTGCGCTCGTGATGCGCCGTGTAGGACTGCATTTTGAAGTTCACACTCAGTTGCTGTACTTATCTCACTTCAGGCAGACAAAAAAAAAAAAAAAAAAGGCAGTTTCCAAACTGGTCCTGGTCCACGGCCCACGGTTTGGCTCTGCTCCCCAACATCCCATTCATAATTTTAACTGCAGTAAGAACATCTTGTCTTCCTCTGTCATCCCAGCCCTGCTCTGTTTACTTTGTTCATCTCCGCTCATTTCATCTTCCCAATGGTTCTATGAAGGGTGAAGCAGGAACAGAGATTATGCTGTTCCCAGCTGAGGACACCACGGCCCAGAGAGGTGGAGTCACCTGCTCACGCTGCCCCAGCTAGAGTACGGTGCAAAGATCAGAGCCAGGCTGGGGGCCCTGGCTTCTCTCCTCTCTTCTTGCTGGGTGGGAGGCCCTGGGCAATGGCCAGCCAGGCTCTTACCTGCTTCCCCCATCACACGGAAACTCACAGCAAACACAGAGAGATATTTTCTAAATGCCCGGGACACCTAACAGGGCAGAGAGGACTGTGGGATAAGGCCTGTGCTCTAGCAGCTTTAGTGGCTGTTCCTGACCTCCAGGGACAAGTCTGAGACACTGACATCATGCCTGGGCTTTGCTCTCGCCCTTTCCTGGGAATCCCAAACTCCTCAGGCAGACCATGCTGTTGAAATGCGGTCTTCCTAAGTGGCTCAGGCTGGCCTTGAACTCACCATCCCACTCTTGAGCTTCAGCCTCCACCCCCACACCCTTTTCTGCTCCCTGTGAGGTTTCTTGGGATGACAGACATTCATGCCTCCATCTAGACTTTGCTTTGCTTTTGGTGGTAGTAGTGGTGGCAGGTGGGGAGGCAATACAAAAATGTCTTCCCATTGCTGAATACCAAGCATAAGCCAGTACCTGTTGGACCCACTCACACACAACTGGAGACTGGTGGCACCAGACAGGACAAGGTCTCGGCCCTGTGGCTTTTCTGTTGCCCTCTCTGCCAGTCTCCTGTGCTGACAGTTTGACTCAGCCCTGACCTGAAGAGGCACAGAGTCTGAGTCCGGGAACATGATGGTGCCTAGAAGACATCATGAGTGGGAAACTGGCCTCCGCTGCTGGGAAACTTCACCTTCTCTGCCCTTAGCATTCTGGAGCACAGGACCAGTGCGGAGTATGAGACAGTGCTGATGCCAGACTCCCAAGACTGAAGCTCTTCCCCCCTGGGGAAGGGGGGTGTGGAGGCCTGTTTTCACACCAGGGGTGGGGAGTGGAAGGCTTGATCCATAAACCAGGAGCCCACCTTCAGTTTCCACCCTGTCCAGAGCCCAACCTTCTTCTTCACCCACAGGGACCCCTCCGACCATCACCACACAGGGAGAACAATCTGGAAAGATCCTTTCAATCTAAGATTCCCAAACACCATTTCTAAGATGAAGCCATATTCATTCCACCCAGAGTACTGCTCTTAACAAACGGTTTCAGTCCAAAGATTCGCCCACTCAGGAAGGGATGCTGGGACATGTGTATTCTCTTGCAGTTGTAGTAAAACAGAAGTAATGGGAAATCTCCCCAGATCACTCACGTGTGTAACTGAACATAAGCAATTCACACTGTGGACAGTTCTCACTACCATCCACATCTCCTTTCACAACACTGATTAAACAATAAGCCATCAGTTCCCTCTCCCCAATCCTGCCAACCACCATTCTGCCCCACCCTCCAGCTCCCTCCCTCTCTCCTTTGAGACAAGGTTTCACTATGTGGCCCATTCTAGCTTCCAGCTTGAAATCCTCCTGCTTCAGCTTCCTTGAGTATGGAAATATTTTGGATAGATTGTCATCCCTTGGCTCCCATGAAGGATTTGTCTCAGGGTGTCCCAATGATGTCTGAATACAAAGGCTGTTGCCTACAATTTGCAAATAACCTCTTTGCAAATAACCTCATACACTCTCACCAGCCAGTCTGTAGAGGACTCTTAATACCAAATGCTATGTAAATGTTATGTAAATAGTTGTCTTGCAGTATGGAGGTAGCAGCCAGGATAGTCTGTATGGGTTCAGTCCAGACTTAACTGTTTCCTGAGTACTTTATTATCTGTGGTTACAGATCCACCAGTGTGGAACCCACAACTACGGAAGGCTGTCAGTTCAATAAAATTATTACTTAAATTAATTCCACGTGGTCCTCTGAGTGTGTGTGCGTGTGTGTGTGACAACAGGTAGAATTTGAGCTTGATCAGGGCCTGAGGCTGGTATCCTTGTTCACTTGTGGCATTCAGCTGTGCACCCCAAGCCCCAAGATGCTCCATCTCACCTGCTATAGAGCTGCTGGGAGCTGAAGGTGTAAAGGACATAGAGAGTGTTCCCTGCCAGGAAGGCCAGAATCCACAAGATGACCAACACCGACCTCTTCTCCTGCAGATAAAGTAAAGATGGGGCTGCGGTGAAGCCAAAGGTGCTTGTAGTGGAACACTCTAGGATGTTCTGCAGTGGCTGGAAACGTCACTGACTGGAAGGTTTTTGAAGGGCGCAGAGCTGAGCGTGAGGGGAGGGGCTTTAACACTCTTAGCCTGCATTTGCTGTACACCCATTGGCTCCATCCCATCTGGGAAGCCCAACTCTGGACAAGCTACTTAAATGGTTGTAGCCAGTCTTTGCTACTTTGTGGGTTCTTTTTTTTTCACCCTTTATCCCCCCCACCCCATTTCATCCCCTAACACTAGAGAGGAAAGAAGGAGAGAGGAAGAAGAGAGAAAGAGAGGGATCCCTGAATTTAATGTCTTTCTTCTTGTTTGTTTGCTTGCAACTGGTCTTTGCTACTTTGTGGGTTCATCTTTTTTTCCACTCTTTATCTCCCCAGTCTTACCACCCAAAAGAAGGATAGAGGGGGAGAGAGAGAGAGATCTGTGAATCTAATTTCTTTCTTCTTGTTTCTTTTTTGAGAACAATTACTAACCACAACAAATGCCCATGAACGAACAATAACCACCAACCCCACCTATCAGGGCTCTAGCATTTGTACACCTTCTGAAAAATTCCCAGAATTCCAAACATCACACAATTGCAGAAAGTATCTGCAGCTGTCAAAACCATGCTTTTGCTAGAGCATGAGGCAAATCATAGCCGGCTGCTATGAGCAGTCCCATATCCCCACACTTGGGATTGAAACAAAAACATATCCTTATAATATTTCTGTGCTTTTTAAAGAACCAAAAATGCAGAACTTCCACTACATATGGATCCACAGCAGCATCTACACCATCTACCCACCAGGGTCTTGAGAACTAGTGTGTACATACTTAAAGTACCTAGCACCAGTGTCCATTTAAGAACTGGGCATAAGCTGGGTGTGGTGGCACATGCCGGTGTTTCCAGCACTCAGGGCGGCAGAGGCAGGAGGATCCCTGTGAGTTGAAGGTCAGCCTAGTTTACAAAGTGAATACACAGAGAAACCATGTCACTAAAAACAAAACAAAAAGGAGCTGGGCACAAACTAGGCATGGTGGCACTCAAAGGAGGATCAGAAGTCCAAGGTCATCTCTGTGACATATCAAGTCTGAGGTCACCATGCTATGTGAGACTTTGTCTCAGAACAAGTAAAACAAGGCCAGTGTGATGGCTTTGCAGGTACAGGGACTTGCTGTTGGGCCTTGGGATTGGCGTTCCATCCACAGGACCAAAACAGTTGTCCTCTGACCTCCATAGATGTACTGTGACATGTGCCCCCACCCAATACATAAGTAACTTAATAATAACTAAGGTAAAAATTAAAATGAATGAAATAATAAACAATAGAGCAGTTAAGCACCTTGCTCAGAGGCATCATTGTCTTCACTTGGAGATGAAGGTGTGTCTAAAAGTTAGGTATGAAGGCTGGGCAATGGTGGCACACACGGTTGATCCCAGCACTCGTGAGGCAGAGGCAGGCAGAGCTCTGAGTTTGAGGCCATCCTGGTCTACAGAGTGATACTTGACTCTCTCTGATTCTGTCTCTCTCTCTCACACACACACAAACACTCCTTTGTGGTTGCCCAGCAGCCTCTGGGCCTGATAGCAATCCTAGAACACGTCCAGAGTCTGCAGAGAAGGGCATGGTCCTGCCCCAGTGCCTGGGCATGCCCAGACCCCTGTGCCATTGATCCTTCAATGTTGGTGGGGAATCCCCTGGTCCCAAGCTCCCAGAATAAAGACTCATGAGACTCATGAAATACTTCTTACAAACACCTACACCATATAGATTCTTCTCTGACTAGCTCATAACTTGAAACAACCCATTATACTAATCTACATTTTGCCACGTGTTTTTTTTTTTTTTTAACCTATGTTCAGGTATGATGCATCTGTCCTTGCCAGCTGAATCTCCTGTGCCTGGCTCTCTCCCAGAATTCACTCTGCCTATCAATGCCTCACTCCTATTTCCTGCCTAAGCTATAGACCATCAGATTTATTATTGACAGGTGCTACAGCCATACAATACACAAGATGTTCCTTCTACACCTAAAGCTGGTCTCTTCCCGGCCCAGGGTGGCTGCTCTGCTATAAAGGAAGTCATGGCCTTTTACTGAGCCACCTCCCAGCTCCTGGAAGCGCTTCCTTGGTCATTAACCTTGACTCCTGGAAAAATGGGGGAGTTGTGACGGATGTGTCTGGCTCCTTCTCTGGATAAGTACATTGCAGCTGAGCACAGCATTTGGGGTCAAGTCTGAGATAATATGTGTGGACCATACAGCCTTCAGGGGAAAAACACCATGTTCAACCTCTTCCCTGCTTTATCTCTTGATGAGTCTGAACTGCTAGAGTGGCTTCTTAAGACGAGGTGATGTTGTGCTTGTTTTTAAACTCTTTATTTTGGGTTCCTTAAAGCCTCTCCCTTCCAACCCCCCAACCATAGGTAGGAGAGAGGTTAGCAGGAAGAGGGGCCCCAGACCACCCTGCTTCTCCCAGCTGTTTAGGATTGACGATGGGTTCTTCTGAGGCTACACCAATCTCCTTCGACAGTAAATGCGGCAAGCAGTCTCCTCCATCTATCTCCTTCAAGCTGCTGGGCCAGGAAGTGTCTCCAAACTACCACACTCTCAGTCTCTGATCTTTTCAAAATGCCACATGCCACACCTTCTCTTTCTGGGCTCTCCTGTTTATAGTCCTCAGAGTCCTAGACCACGCCCCTCTCCATGATGCAGGAGGCAGGCCATTACCAGCTGGCAAAGACCATGCTCCACAGGAGGCAGCTACCAACTGTGGACAAACTAAAGCCCAAACCAAAATCCCATACTTGGGATTGGAACAAAAACATATTTATATAACATAACTGAGTTTTTAATGAAGCCAAGACTTCCATTACAGGATGATGTTTTGATGAACATAATCAGTGAGGATATTTTGACTACAGCCAGCCTGCTGAACAGCCCTGCTCACTAGCCCAGCACACTGTAGCATGTTGGCTGTCATCCCTCTAGGCTAGCTGGGAGCAGGCCTGGAACTCCTGACCTTCAGATCTCCGTAGCTCACCCTCCTGAGTCCTGGAACTAAAGGTGCAGCTGCTGAACCCAGATCTAGTCTGTATCAGATGAATGTGTGGTTTTACTACTGTCATAAAGGTAAGATAGTGTCACTCAAGGTCTCATAAGTCATGGAGCAAATGGAACCCCCTTTTCCAGAGAAAACCTCTGACTAACAGCCCCAAGGCACTTATTGTGGGCCTGAAGGTGAATGGAGCTATCAACAGCTTCAAGGCACCTTCTGTGGGCCTGAAAGTGAATAGAGCTATTGACAGCCCCAAGGTACCTACTGTGAGCCTGAGGTGAGTGGAAAATTTTTTAATTGTGTGTATGTGTGAGAAAGATATGTGTATTCGTAACTGCAGGTGTGCATATGTCATAGTGTGTGTGTCAGCCAGAGGACAATGCTGTGGGCCCTCGCCTTCCAACTTGTTTGCTGCTCTGATGGTGGCCTAGACAGACCTGTGTCAGACCTCAGGTCTTCAGAAAAGAATCAATCACAGCCACAGGGGACTCACCTTCAACGACACCTGCTCCCGGAGGGTGGAGTTTGCATAGGCGAAGGTGCTGGCCATCCCGATGCACACAGCAATGCCTGTGGGAAGAGCAGGGTGACACGGGGGACATGCTGGCTTCCACCCACTAGGACCTCTCCAGCCCAGCCTGGGACCCTGAGCAATGCTGGAAAATAACATTCACCATGCTCCTGGAGTTGGCAAGCTACGAACTGAGGGGAGAAAAGTCAGCCTCCAGGGGTTAGGCTACCAGGTACATCAGCAAGAATGCTGGCCCACTCTCTTCTGGGGAGAGGATTTAGGGGAGTCGAGAGAGAGAGAGAGAGAGAGAGAGAGAGAGAGAGAGAGAGAGAGCCCTGTGGGGTGTGGCCAGATCAGAGTTCCAATTCCAGCTTTGTTACTTCCGCTGTGTAAGTGCAGACAAGTTGCTGTCCCTCTCTGAGCCCGGTACTCTTATATGTGATGGGCAGACAGC